TATGCAAAGGTGCAAATTTCCAATGATGAATGTCATTATATTGTATACCTAAAATGTACCAATAAAATTAAATTTAAAAATAAAGAGTTCCTATACCCTGCAGTATTTTACCTGAACACTATTTGCTTGGCAGAAATGCTTGATGACTTCCAACAGAGGGGCCAACATAGTAGCTTTGCCTTCAGATACACCATCAATTTGTTTTACATTTTCAACTGTAGTTGGTCTGTCATTTAAAAAAAAAAGTTTAAAAATCACTTAATCACTGAAACAGTATCACTCCAGCAATTCAGCTTCGTACTTATGCTTCATAAATAAATTTTTTCCACAACCAAAAATAATACATAAGTAGTCATATCTTATAATTTTTTTGCTTTTCTCCCCTTAAAACTTTGTTTTAATGAAATAAAATTAATTAATGAAAACACCACCACTATTTCCATCAGAATAAAAACATCAGAAAGTACCTGTTATAACTGGTAAACAAGCCAGTATCAGAAAGAAACAAGCAAATGCCTATTATTCCACTCTTTTACAGATTTATTATTTTCATAGAAATGAAGAGGAAAGTGATAAGACTAAGGACAATAAACAGGCCAAGAACCTCTCAGAAAAAAGTCTCATTCATTATTTTTCATAAAAAATGTTTACCTGTAACAGTAAATCTGCTAACCAGGCTTTTAGCTCAGAATTTTTTATTGTGCCCAATATCTAAGACCATACAGTGTCTTTCTTCTAAAACTCTCTCAATCTAATGATTACTTCTTTTCCTTAAATATCTTCTCAGAATATTAAAGTGTGGTCATAGAATAAAATATTTATATTTTTGAAAAATTATTATTGTAAGATGTGAGCACTGTGTAATATTATTAGAAAATCTTGGACAAAATAACATATTTTGAATGAAATTTAGTAATAGAAACAATTTTCAAAAGGAAGGAAAAAAAGATAAATACAATTAATAACCCAGCATCATTTTTTGGAATTTCTTCTAAATATTTATTGGCCACATAGTGTTTATCAGGCATTGTGCTAGATTCCATAGAAGACACAGAGAGACAAGGAACTATATCTTTATTCACAGAATTTAAGTTCTAGAAAATATAATGCATGTCTACAACTAATTACAAAGAAAAATAAATAAGGCACTCATTGATAAGTTTCACAGAACCATCTTTAGATGAATTCAAGAGAGAGACAAGTCAGCAGGAGGCTTCATGGAGGAAATAATGATAAAGCTAAATCTTGAAAGATTTAGGAGGAGTTTGGGGGAACCAAGAAAACTACAAGGCAGAAGCAACAGTATAAATAAATAAAAGAAAGATGGAAGGGGGTCCTGAATAAATGGTAAACTATCCAGGTAAGATAAACCATACTAAATTCTGTGACTTAGGTAGAAGGGATTTAAGTCCATAAACAGACAGGCTTGGAATTCCATGCTAAAGAAGACAGTGGGAAACCATTTCAGCAAAAGTATAACATGATAAAGGAAGATTAATTTGGTATTCATATATCAAGTGAAATAGAGAGCAAGACTGAGGAGTAACCAATAAAAAGTCTTTTACAATAGGTCAAGGGTAAATGGTCTGATAACTAATACAATGTCACTAAGAAGAATAAAGATGGCATAGACAGATATACACAAAGAATATTTAACTGAAAACTGAGAGGAAGAAGGAGATACATGTTAGGGAAGTGAAAACTATCAGATTTTAAACATATGTGACTAAGAACATAACACAATTTTTAAAAGGTGAGGAATTCCAGAAAGTTTTAGTGTTTAGATGAAATGCATGTATAGAGGATGAGTGGGTAGTGAAACTGATTTTATGTATAATTTGATTGCTAAAAACAGTTGGTTTCGCTCTTGCAGAAACACGGGACTAAGGCTCAACAAAGAGATCCACAGAGCAGTGTGAGAGAACTGGGAGTCTGTTCACACATGTGATAACTGAAGCCATGGCCATATTATTACACAATGAGATATTTTACAAATCTATTACGTTAAAGGAAAATAAACCAAAATATACACAAAGAGACAGTTTACCTCATTTTGGCCAAATCCAATAGTATCTTGTTTGTGGCCAGAATAGCTGGAGGAACATCCATTTTATTGGCATGTCTCTGTCTAGCTTCTACTAATTTGCCATACAACACACTCTAAACAAAAAACAAAGACCAATTCAGCATTCATTCTTTTAATGTACTTAAAAAATTCAGCCTTTATTTTTAGACTCTCACATATTACATTTTCCATTGAGATAAAAATAAACTGATTTTTACCTCAGTTTCTTAGCTAAAGAATAATATTTTAAAATACTAAAGAATTTTAAGCATGCAAAGTATACTAACTACCCTCTGATAAACTAACTGCCTTTTAACAAAAGTCTTACCTGGGTCTTTTGCTCCTGGGCTGAAATAACAGGTTCTGAGGATACCATGATACTGAAATATTTAAAGAAATAAATAATGAAACTTTTTCTTTTTCTAGTTTTTTTTTAAATTTCAACTCCAAAATAAGAATATTTTTCCAGGAATAACATTTATTCTTCACAATACCAATAAGGCAAATGGTTCCTTAAACGGCAACAGCATAGATTTAAAACCCTTTGGATCAAATATATTTACTATAATGGTAAAGTTAAAACTGCAATGTGAGTCCTTCAGAACATTGGCATGTTTTATCTGTCTCCCCCTCCTCCTCCTCCTCCTCCTCAACCAAATGCTGTGAAAGAAAATAATCCCCATCCACTAAACAACATTTTTAACCAACAGAGATACAATCATGATTGCTCCTGTACAACCACCGATTTTTGGTTGGTGAGGAACATTAGCAAAGAATAAAATTATTCAAAAATTTCTTTAAAATCATTCAAATGAATATAAAACAAGGTAGTAATTTTGTTTTGGACTCCTCAAAAGAGGGACAGAATACACCCAATTAGCAAATACAGCAAAAAAAAAGGAGCTGGGCAGCAAATTAGATATTCGACAAGAGGCATTTCTCATTGATAAATTAATTATAAATAGAAAGTTATAAAAATGGAACTGTATAAAAGTCTACATGAAAGACATCAAATTTAAATAAATTTCTGCTTCCTGGAAATACAGGGAAGAACTTAGAATTTAAAAAATGTTTGTAGGCACAGCATGGTGGCACATGCTTGTAATCCCAGCTACTTGGGAGGCTGAAGCAAGAAGATTGCAAATAAAGGTCAGTCTGGGAAACTTAGTGATACCCTGTCTCAAAAAAAATTACTTTTTTAATCTTAATGAAGGGGGGGGGGTCGGGGCTGGGGAAGTGATAGTGTGTTTGCCTAGAATGTTTGAGGCTTGGTTTTAAGGCCAAAGACTGGAAAAAAAAAAAAAAAGAAGAAGAAGAAGAAAGAAAAGAAAAAAAGACTTATTTATAATTTCTACTAAAAAAATTTAGAAACTGGTGTAAAATAAGATTTCATTTTCACAATTATCAAATGCTATCACTGAAATAAGTAGTCATTAGCCTGAGGGAGGGAAAAACTCTAGTTCAAAGAATTAGCAGTATCAGGTTAATCAAGAAAATAATGCTGGGGACTGAACTGAAGGAGAAGAAATCTATTGCTATGGGTTGTGTCTAGATGTCCCCCAAAGTCTCATGGTTTTTCAGAGGTGGCTGAATCTACAGTGTGTGATTGACTCATGGTGGGGTTAGGCCCAAGGGCACTAGGATTAAAGGTGTGAGTGCTATCCGCCCTAAGTAGTCTGGATGGGATAAAAGGGGCAGGAAGACACTGTTAATGTTCCTTGCTGCTTTGCTACCATCTTATGCCACCATGAACTGTTACTCCTCTCCCATGTGCCACCCTGCCTTGGAGCCAGCCAATCCATGGACTGAAACCTCTACAAATTGAGCTAAATAAACCCTTTCCCCTTTAACTTTTGAGTGTTGGGTATTTTGTCTCAGAAACGAGAGAAAAGAACTAAGACACTTACCATGAGAGGAAATCAATAAAAACTTTTAAACTGATGAAGTAAAAAAATAGTTAAGTATGTCATTGAGAAGTATGGAGGAGGCAAATAGAGAAATCAGAAGATTTGAGGGTAATTGCTTCTACAGAATAGAGCAAAGTAAGTTTGAAAAGGGTGTGGCCTGTGTACTTTGCTGTTAGCTACCAATTGACTTATTTGTATTATTTAAAGAAAATTTAAATACATTTTAATATGCCAGTTACTGATATATAACCATCCTGTTCACTTCTATACACTGAGTCCATATGTTTAATTTCTTGACCATGCCACAGGTATTCCAAACTCATTATATCTTATCATTCAACTCCTGATTTTAAGCTCATCCTCTAAACATCCAATTCCTCCAACCTGTGCAGCCCCCACGTTGCCTAACAAAGGGAATGGCAACAGTCCCACATTCAAGCATTCAAAGATAGAAATTTAACATCATGAGAAAGCCTTTCTTTTTTTTAACCCACCTATCTTTTCAAATACCAACTCCTAACAATTCTATCTCCTACCATGCAAGTATTTTTCTCTCCATGCCCTCTTTTACTTTCCTCATCTATGCTCCCATCACTTCTTTCAAACAACACAACAGCCTCCTTATTTGAGTCTCTACAATTCCCTCCACAGCAGAGTGACCAATCAAGGATTGGCACACTAGGGTCCACAGGTCAAATTTGTTTTGGTTAGGCCAAAAGCTAATAATGTTTTTTTTATATTTTTAAATTTAAAAATTGTGGCTTGTTAAATTATGTGAAATTCAAGCTTTAGTGTACATAATTAAAGTTTTGTTGTAACACAAACATAATCATCCATTTTCATACTATGTATGGCTGCTTTGAGGCTACAACAGCAAAGATGAATGACAAAGGCCCTCAACACCTAAAATATTTACTATCTGAATTTTCTTTGGGGGGCGGTGCCAGGGATTAAACTTGGGTCCTTGCACTTGCGGGGCAGGCGGCAGAACCACTGAGCTAAATCCCCAGCTCCTGAATTATTTTATTTTAAGTACATGTTTGTAGTACATAAAGATTACTTTCATCCCAGTAAGATGGTACATGAACATAATATATTTTAATTCTTTTTACTTTCTCTCCTCCTCTCTCCTCCCACTATCTGATTCTTTACAATAAATCTGTCAACTGCTGTTCTAAATTAGAACTTCGATCTAATCACTGTTGTGCTTAGAACTCTTCCTTAACTCCCCACTGCCTTTATGATCAAGTCAAGTACCTGAAAGAAATTAATATTCTGGCTCTTATTTAATTCTCTAGGCTTAAATCTTACCTCTCCCTACTTAGGTAACCTCTGGCGGTGCTCTTGAGTTGCTCAATCATATCTTTCCTCTGCTTGAGAAACTTCCCCTCACACCACCTGACTGACATCTACTTAAGCTTCAAAGCATCCCTTCTTTGGGGAAGTCCTGCTTACTCTTCTACTGTTTCTGAAACACTGGAACTTGAATTGTAGCTTTAAGTTCCCTGTACTATACAACCCTCCTAAGGGCCAGTGACTGTGTCTTGAATATTCCTCACTTAATCCCAAAGCCTAAAATGGTACCTGGAACTAAAAAGCAGCCTAATAAAAACATAGCAAAAGTTTAAATGAAGACATACTTCAGGATAATGAATGGATATACTGTTTTATACACTCTTTAAATGTTTTGTTTACATAAAGCCAAAGTAATATATATTCAAACAGAAAAATTATTTAAGGTGGGAAACTGATATTGTGGTAAATATTTTGTCAGATCCAAACTAGCATTATCTAAGTGAGCAAAGCACTTAAAATGCATACAAATGTGAAAGCACATTCATTTACTTTGACCTGATGAGACTGTAAACATAGTCCATTAATGTATAATGTTGGCCTTGACATGTTTTTCAAATTCTTCATCCCCAAACCTCTGGAATTCTGTATAGTTTCCACACTTTTATTAAGTCACCACGTTAAATAGTAAGCTTAATTATACATTAACTATATTGCCTTGATCCTCTATTAATTTTTGTATTTATGATTTTATGTTACCATAATACTTGTTTTGAAAATGGGGTGGGAATGTATATTTCATACAAATTGGTGGACAAATACAGCTTTGAAAGCCAGCTCTGCCATTAGCTATATGCTCTTGAACAAGACAGTTAATTTTTTAACCCTTGATATCTTTAACTATAGAATACAGATTAATAATATAGCAATTTAACAGCTTTTTAAGGAATTAAATGAGATAATACATATAAAATGCTTAGCATTTAACATAGAACCTGGCAAAGAACAATGCTAAGAACTAGTGGCTATTACTAACATCACTGTGTCTATTTAATAATTATAGTACTGGATATACTTTAACTATTAAATGTTCTTTTGCTAATGAAATAAGCCAACATCTGATAGTTCCTTCTCTTTAGAAAAGAAAGGAAAATAGTGTTGATAACATAAGCATAGAAAATAAAAACTTAAAATTCTGTACCTTTTTTTAGGAATGTTAATCCCAGAAGAAATTTTATCAAGTGCTTTGTAAGAATACATCTTCTCCAAGTTAGACTGCATTTAAATATATAAAGGTCCATTAAAAAATGAGGTTTAAAGAAATATTTAAGTATTAAGAAAAAAAGATTAAAAATCTCAGTTATAATTTTTCCACTAACCAGGTCATCAAATAAATCAAGTAGGGGTGGGGATTTAGCTCAGTGGCACCATGCCTGCCTCATAAGCGCAAAGTCCTGAGTTCAATCCCTGGTACCAAAAAATTAATTAATTAATCAATCAACTAAAAATAAGCTCTTAGGCCATCACTCCTAAGATCGTATAGGCATTTAAAAATACACCCCAAAGGGCCGGGAATTTAGCTCAGTGGTTCTGCCACCTGCCCTGCAAGTGCAAAGACCTAAGATCGATCCCCGGTATCAAAAAAAAAAAATACACCCCAAGTCCCCTTCCTGCCTAAGCCATAAATACAAATGATCAAAAGAATGCTCTAAGACACTGCAAGGCCCAAGTTACAAAACTGAGTTAATTATATTCTGCATAGTTTAATAAAGCAGAAAAAGTGGACAGAAAATTTAATTCACCATGTTTGTCCATCTTCCATGTTCTAATTAGCTCAAGTCTGCCTGGGTAAGTACTTAATCTATTCTCTAAGATCCCAACAGAACAAGAAAGTGTGGGTGCATACATGTACACGCATGCACATATGTGGCTTCTATGAAAATATTAGGAATAAGGCTCATTTTTCTATCAATTATGAGTATCATGATGCATAAAAACTCCAAGCCAATTTCTATTAGCTCTAGAAATTATATAACACATTTTCTCTGTTCATATAACTTCTATTTCTAATTTATAATTTGTTATATGTGCTGTTATTCTCTTAAAATGGAGGGGATTTAAAATATAAAATTTTAAAACAAGAGTTGCATCAATGAAGAATGAAATAAGCAAGAATCATCTCTTCAACACAAACCTCCTTTTCTGCAGTTAATTCAATTGGTATTTGATTAGAGGGATGATGTTCAATGCCCAAAGATACAGTACTAGCACTGAAAAATAGAAAAATTAAATTATTTCTGGTGTTAAAATCCAATTATCTAATTTGTGAATCATCATACCCCCACTCTCAGAAAGTAGATGAGATTATGTTACCCTTTTAGAACTGACAATTTTTTTAAACTGATTTCTTTTCCCAGAAAAGGAAGAAATTTAAAAGAAAAAAAAATTAACAAATGATCAATAACATGTAAGGCGCTAAAAAATAATGAACAGCATATTCCTTTCCCACCTTCTACACGTAAGAAGGAAGCTTGGCACATGAGTTCTTCAGCATTCATCTCAGTTCTGCTTACTCAATGGGAAAGATGCTCTCTACAGCCTATGGTCAATCAAGAAAGTGTTCTATGCTTTCTCTTTTCCACAGAGCCCTTTCTCCCAAACTCACTAAAACAAGTATGCAAACACAAGCAGGCAGCATGCAACTGATTTTACTTGTGTGGCACCTATAAAATGCTGTAATTTGAATCATTTAAACAACAACCAAAAGGAGAAGAAAAAAAACTTATAAATGAACCTTGGCAGAAGAAACTTCTTCGGCCACAACTCTTCATTAGCTTGAAGTATAAGTCTCTGAGGAGATTCTGCATTGGCTTTAAAAAGCCAATTCCTACCCTATCAAAACCAAAAAAAAAAATATTAATGCACAGTAAGAAAAATTATGTCAAACACATAGATTTTCACTCTGTTTACCTTTGCCGTAAGGGTGCAAATCTTTACAAATTTGTTACCACCAGGAACGTCTACCAAAAATCCTTCCGTTACAAGGTGACGGGAAAAGGCCTTCCACCAACTCTCTGTTTGATCCTTGCCAGCACCAAAAAGGTTGTGTCTACGAAACGGACCTGGGAGACGCTGAGAACTCTGAAATTAGGAATAAAATCAGTATCTAAAAATGCTTATTCAATTAAAAAGGGTAAGTATAACACAAACCCATCTATTGATTCTTTGGATTTAACAATATATTTCAGCTTTAAAAACTTAAAATTTGTTTTTTGTTTTGTTTTTGTTTTTTTCAGGAGATAAGTTTTGTTATGTAGCCCAGGCTGTCCTTGAACTCACAGTAATCCTCCTCCTGCCTCAGCCTCCCAAGTGCTAGGATTAGAAGGATGTGCTACCACTCCTAGCTTTAAAAACTTAGAAAAATTTTATACCCATTCTACTTGTTCTAAACACCCCAAGCACAAATATTGAGTGTTATGTTATTTTTGTGTTTTAAATAATGGCAGAAAGTCTGATATATAATTCAAATTGCTTTTCCCAATGTACAGGTTTGGATACATGACTGGAATATTTAATCCTTGCTATTTAGACTTTTTATTAACCTACATTACTATTTTTTTAAATGATTACAAAACACTATCTGCTCCCTTGGGGGACTATTTTTCAATGTACTTGTCAATAATATCATAAGCTATTTACTACCCTTTCTGTTTAAATTAGCTAGAGAGATCACGGGCTTTCTAATTAACTGTGGTATTTTTGGTTACATTCATGTTTCAAAAACACTCAACCCTTGAATATATAAAGAGGTCACTGGGTTCTAAAACAATATAAAACTCTAAATTTTTAGAACTGAGCAGATTACAATTCAACATTTTTACATTTTGCCTATGTCCTAATGAAGATTTAACAATCAATGTATATAAAAATCCAGGGATAAAATTTAAAAGACTATATAGCAAGAGTTGCAGCAGATATAACTCAGGCTCTCTGTCAAGAATATATTGGCTTTATTTAACTGATAAGAACATTATAGATACAGGTTTAACATTTTGAAATGCTAAAAATGTAAATAAAAGCATTCTAAAACAAATAAAACAAGAATGACATATTAAATATAAAGATATATTGCTTCCATATTCCCAAGCATATGACTGAAATCAAAAGTATATCTGAGTATTAAGGCACTTATACCATTTACAATTTCTAATGCACAGACTTCTAAAATACCCTAAATAAGGCTGCTTCTTTCACGAAAAGGAAGCTAGGATGAACCTCAGTAAGGTAAATTCCCACCAGAGACAGAGATAACAGTGCCTAGATAGTTGTCTAAAACTACAGGCTTCTGACAGGAGTAGTTAACAGAGTCTGTCACCTGCTCTGTATTAAATCTTAAAAATAAAAATAGGTTATTTTTATAAAAATAGGTAAGTGGGCCGAGGATTTAGCTCAGTAGTGCCACCGCCTGCCTCAAAAGCACAAGGTTCTGAGTTTGATCCCCAGTACCAAAAAATAAAAATTTTTTAAAAATAGATAAATAATGAATTTTAGTATTATGATGATTACATTTACAAAAATGTTATTAGATTAAGATTTATAGAAGTATAAACAGCCAGGTATAGAGTGCCATAGTTTTCAGAGAAGAGGTCTTTGATTTCTTTCATTAGGATGATTCCTAGGTATTTCAGTTTTTTGGATGCTATTGTGAAAGGAATTATTTGCCCTATTTCTCTCTCAGTGAGTCTGTCATTGGTGTAGAGGAAAGCTATTGATTTTTGTGTGTGGACCTTGTAACCAGCTACTTGACTGAATTTGGTTATTAAGTCTAGAAGACTTTTGGTGGAGTTCTTGGGGTCTTCTATATAGAGTATCATGTTATCTGCAAGAAACAGCCCAAATGCCCATCAACTGGAGACTGGATAAAGAAAATGTGGTTTTTTAATAAAATGGAGTACTACTCAGCCATAAAAAATGAGAAATTAGAGACATTTATAGCTAAGTGGATGCACATTGAGGTGATACTCTTAAGTGAAATAAATAGGACACACATGTATAAATACCGAATAGTTTCTCTGGTGTGAGAAACTGAAAGTGTAAATAAGGACTAAATGTATAATAGATAATGTGAAATAGGAAGAAAAGGGGCAAAGGGGAAGGAAGTGGGAGGGCTAGGGGAAAGGACAGAAGGGAATGGGATTCATATGAGAAAATGGAAAAATAAGAACAAATCTTTGTAAATAGGGAGGAATAGAGGGGTTGAAGGGAGGGCTGGGCAAGGGTGAAAAATAAGAGCCAAGAGAGACTATGGAAAGGTGCAAATTTCCAATGACGAATGTCATTATATTGTATACCTAAAATGTACCAATGATTAGAATGAATAATCGATAATGCAAAATAGAAAGAAAAGGTCCAAAGGGATAGGGGTAGTGGGAGGGGCAGGGGAAAGGAAAAATGATGAGAAATGGAAAAAATGGAAATAAAGTCTTTGTAAATAGGGAAGGGTGGAGGGTGTGAAGGGAGGGCTAGGAGTGGGGAAAAAATAAGAACCAAGATGCATTATGTAAAGGTACAATTCCCAATGAGAAATGTAATTGTGTTGTATACCTACAATGTACCAATAAAAGAATTTAATACATTAAAAAAAAAACAGCCAGGTATAAAGTGGCACCTTTTTCCTTATTACCAATCCCTGCCTCTGCTAATCCTCACTTTAGGTTGATTTGAGTAAAATGTTTAAAATCAGACATTGTATATGTAAGATGAACAAGCTTGAAGATCTAATATACAACATGAAGACTACAGTTAATAAAACTATACTGTATTTGAGATTCCTGATAAATGAATAGATTTTAGCGACTCTTACCACCAAAACAAACCAAATGGGGTGAGGATTATGTGAGATGATATATATGTTATTTTGCTTTACTGTAGTAAACACTTTACTGTATATATGTATCCCATAATGTCATGCTGCATACTTTAAATATGCATAATAAAATTTCTTTCAAAAAATAAAATATCATAGAACTTCAAAATCGAAAGGAATGCTGAAGCTGTTTGTTTTCAGTCATTTTTCAGTCTTACGGCTAGTAAGTAATCAGAAGCTCAACATGTTAATGACAGCCTCACACATACTGTGCAAGTGCTCTACTGCCGCACCACATCCCTAGCCCACATTCCCTCTCTACTATCCTTTGTTTAAATTTTGAGATAAAGTCTTGCCAAATTGACCAGGCTTGTCTCAAACTTGAAATCCTCCTGTCTCAACCTCCCAAGTATCTGGGATTGCAGACACATACCACCATAACCAGCAAGTTCTAACTTTTTACTAGTATATGTGCACATGCACATGCACGTGCGCGTGCACACACACACACACCAATATACACACATATGCAGGCTCTTGGGCTAGATTACCTGGATTCAAGTTAGAGTTATGGTAAATTACTTAACTGCGCTGTTACTACTTGACCTGATATACAAGTACAGTAATAGTTTCTACCTCCTGAAGATACTCTTAAGTTTAAGAAAGTACAATAACTAGGACAAAGCCTGGCTCAGTAATTTCTTTTTATTAATTAACGACTGAAACCTTAACTAAACCTAAACTTCTTAACCCAGTAGTAGCATTTAGTCAGTTTTCCCTGAAATACTTGCTCATGGTTCTACTGCTAAGAGCTTACTTACCTTTGTAGCAGGAGCAAGAAATTCTACTGCTTGAAAACTAGTAACACCAAAGATATTAACTACCTAACTTACTAGTTGCCTAACTACCACTTACTAGCTCTCTAAACACTGAAAATTGTAACTTTTCCTTTCCTCAGTAGAAAAAAAAATCTGAAGTGAATATACACATTTACTAGTACGAAACAATGAGACTTTCTAATTAGTAGGGAATAACTATAACTGTCTCTTCCTTTTATGATCAATATTCATTGTGAACACTGTGTACTATGTTAATAAATTTATATTGTCTTGTTTCCATGGTAATCACTATGCAAAGAATATTGTTGACTGAGGGGGAAAACACTTGCCACTTCTCCAATTTCCTTAAAAGTCAAAACTGGTTTTTGTAGTATTTTCACTGTGAATGATATTTTCTTCTACTTCTTCCCTCATTCCATCTCTGAATGTCCAAATTAAGTCTACCTTGCTAAAACCTACTCTATTCTCCACAAAATGAAAAGCAACAGTGACATTTTCACATAGACTTTCTAATTCCCCTACACATGCTCTCTTCAGAACTTGAATAATGCTTCAATTCTATTCATGTGTCTTTATCCCTTTCTATATTATATTACACTTTTTTCTTCCTAACACCTTTTATACTAGATGATAAGTTTCATTTACTTCAGCTCTGGATCGCCAACGAAATACAGTAATATAATGCCTTACACAAAAATAGATGTTTAATAATTAGTGGAAAAAATTATAGACTTCAACCCAATATACAACAACCTTTGGCTCAACCAATGAAGGTGCCTGATATTAAGGATCCATCTAAAATCTGTACATCCTGCAAAACTGTACGTAGAATCATCTTACAGTATACTTCTCCAGCATGAAAATAGTTGCGATCTCTTCATTAATTTTTGTGTAATTAGTTGGAAGTGTCTATTTAAAAGGACTACAGGTAATGCTATTTCATCAAAATTAACCAAATAGTTAAAAGACAATAAGGCAGGCAGTATTTGGGCTGTAATTTAAAAACCAAACTTATTCAGACAGAATTGTGAAGGAGGGGACTTTTATTAAGAAAGTAATAAAACTTGTTTTAAAAAGCTACAACTCAAGAAGTGATAAATTTCTAATTCTTAAAGTATAAAACAAGTCCATAGCTTCTGTCAAATATTCTTTTTCTCCCCCCTCTTTCTCAGTTCCTAAAGGCAAAAGAAGGCAACAGCTGCCACTTTAGGGCTTCAGAAAGTCACTTTGAGCTATTCATTCTATATGCAAAATAAAATCAAAGGATAAAGCAATAATAATTATCTTTAGGAGTATATTTCAATCAGATAAAATAGCTCATTCAGAAAATTAAAAGGAAAGCCTTCTGTTAAGACTCTGAAAATTATAGAGGGTGATTAAAGCTAAATTCCAGTAGCTTTTTCTTTTTTTTTTCTTCATCCATTAAGTTTATTGGTACATTTTAGGTATACAATAACCAATAGCTTTTTCTAGGTCCAAAAATCTTTTATCAAAAGTGTTGTCTAACATATGTTTGCCTACTAAAAATGGTGCTTTCCCTCTCTGATTTGCTGCGCCCATGGGGGATGAAGCCACATTACGTGGGAAAAGTGGCCAGCATAAACTGCAGGCATAATCCAATTTTCAATACTTAATTCTCTGAAAAACAAATAGAGAAGAAACATTAAAACAAGTGTTTTTTCTCAAATGTCATCTCATCCACGAATTTTAAGCCAGCCGGTCTCAGAATGTGGTGCCTTGGGAGGTTCCCGAGAACTTTTCAGGATGAAAACTAGGTTAAAATGATTTTCTTAAAAATACTAAGGTATTATTTCTCTTTTTCATTGTATTGACATTTGTCCTGATGGTTCAACAGCAGTGGTGAGTTGATATCCTAAGATTAATCAATACAAGAGCACAAAATCTGTAAGTAGTCGTTGCTATTTTTCATTAAGAAGCACTAATAAAAAAAAAAAGCAGCAGCAGATCACTAGCAAAGTCTTTTCAACTTGTAAAGTTCTGTACTCTAAATTAGAGCTCAGCAAACACTGGCTGGGTTGTTTTTCAAAATAAAGTTTTATGAGAACACACACACACAAAAAAAGGAAAAAAGTGTTGTCTAAGCTGAGCATTCTGATGTGGCCTGTAATCCCAGCTACTTAACAAACTGAGGAAGGAGGATCAAGTTCAAGGCCAGGGTAGGCAACTTAGTGAGACCCTACCTCAAAAATTTTTTTAATTAATTAATTAAAATTTTAAATTAAAACATGTTATCTGATGCCAGGGCTTGGATAAGGCTTAGCACTGTGCTGTGATAAGAAAAGATGTTACATTTAATCTCCAGTATGAAAATTAATGATTGTGTTCTGTTTTCTAATATATAAAATTAAGGTCATTGTATATCTTATCACATATTCACACAAGGTATTTAAAGATTTTTACATGGTGAGCTAATTACACAGCTAAAACTTAGGTAACAGTTGTACTACTCAGTAACTAATGAAGCATGTGGTTTAAAACAATATTTCAAACTCCACTCACAAACTTGCAAATAACTATACTATTTTTCTAAATACCATCTATGAATAGAATCATATATTACTGAAACTGCATGTTATTTATTTATATTATTTCTTTTTTAAAACACTCCAATAGTTCTCAGTTTAAGACACATCATTTTACAGATCAAAATTATCTACAAAGATAAATTTTTCCTGAATTAGTTAAGGGGAACATTTGCCAATTCCCAAAGGAATTACAATCATAATTTTTTTAAACAATATCCCAACAGATACATGATCACTGAAGGGGGAAGGGATATGTCTCATTTTCACTGCAGTTAGTATCTGCAAATTTTCATTAAGTGGTACTTTTTTAAAAGTTTTGCACTTTTATTTAGCAAGGGTAGTATAAAATTTCACAAAGTATAAACTTCTTAATTTGAGGACTCCCAGAAGACTCAGTATAAGAAGTCTGACTTGGTTTTCAAATAATAGGTGAAATCTGATCCCTCTTGTGACCAGTTTAAGTTTTTCTAGGAGCCCACTTACACTTATTTGTTGATACTGGATATGGCTAGATTATATCAAATTAAAACAAGAATAATTTTTATAAACTATACATTCAACAAGGATACACAGGTTTTAAGGGTGACAAAGAAGAAATTTTTACAGATCTCAATTATATTTAAACTGTCCCCTGCAATCTAGATTCTTTTTTTATAATACATAATATCATTCACAGCAGATAAGACAAACTTCGCTAGGCAACAATTCTACTACTGAATTTCTAATCAAACTAGTGATTGAAAAACAAAATTTTAAACTCAATTCAAAATCTAAACATATCACTGTCTCAAAAATAAAAAGTAAAAATAGGATTGGGGATGCAGCTCAATATGAAGTCCTATATTCAATCCCCAGTACCAAGAAAGAAATAAAGAAAGAAAGAAAGAAAAAAGTTAATATGTTTTCAACATATTTCATTGAAAATATTTCTCAGCTAATTTATGCTCCTTTCTAAACAAAATATTCAAAATATATTAACATGAGGCATTTCAGACTTTAACAATTATTTACCTAAATGATTTTTAAAATTCCACATACAAAATAATAATCTTAAATTATTTTTAAAAATTTTTTAACAAATATACATATTTACAAAGTATCCTCTCTTCCATGCTTGGTTTATTCAACTATACCAATTTATGAGGTGAATCAGTTGGCTTTGTTTTATAGACTTCTAAATCAATAATAAAATTACAAACACAAAAGACTCCAAAAGAGCTCTTAAAGTGTGTCATATTTGTTTCTGCAGTTGGTTAGCATAACGCTAGCACATTAATCTCTCTCTCAAAAACAGGCAGTTAAATTGAAGTGACTATTCATTAGTAAAGGAAAGAAAAACTTGCTTAAAATTTTAAATAGTTCTAGTAAGAAATGAGAAGAAAAAAGTCCTGCCAATATTGTTATTGAACTTATGTCCCTGAAACTAATGTTTTCCTCAAAGAATTTAATAGTTTCCTAGGTGCCAAAAGATTCCATTTTATTCTACTAGTCCCTTGATACAATAAAAGTTAACTTCCTTAATTATCCTAAGAAAGACCAGTCTAAGGATTTACTCAACTGTAATGTGATAAACTAATATGTTTCCAGACCAAGATTTGGAGCTTAACATTAACTTGGAATATCAAAATAGCAGTAGATGTGATACACACAAGTTTTGTCAAAAGTAATGAATGATGTTTTTAACTGGAACTTAATATGACTCTGGGTTTCCAATAACTCATCCAAAGCCAAAGCTATAATCCTAACACTGAGGAAAGTGTAATAGGAGGAAAAAAAAAAACATGAAGGTCATTTACAGATATACTTACAGATCCTCGGAGAAATAAAATTGGAACCCCAATTCCAAACTTTCCCTGTAAGATGTCCACAGCAGATAACAGAAGGAATGCTTGTGGACCAAAGTCCTGTGATGTATCACTTGAATCATTAATGGAATGGCAATGATTCAATCTATAAAAAAAGATAATATATTAAGAAAGCATAGACAAGACATATACCTTTAGAAATTAAAAGATTTAGTGTAACAATTACCTCAAAAGTGTAAACTCCTCAATTATCTAAAAGGTGCCAACTGCTTCAGAAGCTACAAAATTCATTACAGCCAAGAGCACGGGAAACATTTAAAACATGAAAAAAAAAACCCTACAATATATTATTATAGTGAGACCCTACCTCAAAAAAAAAATTTTTTTTTTTTACAGAGTTTGGCTTTATTTTGCAGTACAGAAATCATTAGGAGCCATTTTGAGACAGACATCATTAAAGTAGAGACTCTGTCAGATCAATACTGCTTTGTAGCTTGGTCCATTGAAGAAGCCACACCTGGAATACAAAAGATGCTTCTACATTTTACCTGCTTTATAGATAAGTTCCTTTCCCCTTCTCTTAATTTTCCTAGGTTAAAACAACACATATGCTAATAGTTATGCTAATAGTTCTCTTCTAGTGCTCTAGAAGCTAAGTTCAAGAAAGTAGAGGTGCAGGATTACACCTAAAACAGCAGCACTTGATCGGTTACGTAACTATTAGATTTTTGTGTTAGGTTTTGTTGAAAAAAAAAAAAGATGGAGAGGCTGTTGCAAAAAATAAAAAGTTTTAAACTTAAAAAATCAAATCTCCTATGCAGTAAACTGTTAATTTAATCCCCAATGACTATGAAAAATGACACAAAGTTTATAAATCTTTCATTTAAGAACATTTAAAAGTTAAATTCCTAAGTCATCCTTCAGGAAGATTTGAAATTATCAAATGAGAATTCTTTATGTTGAAAACAAAAGGAATCCTTAGAGAAAAATCAAATAAATACAGTTAAAGTACCTAATCTAATTGCTTCCCTTAAAATAAATTATCTTTGAAATGTCAATGAAAATATCTTTAAATTCCATATAAAATAATGTTTGGAGGGGAAAAAAAAAAACCTCTATGTTCAGTTTTATTCTCCTAGTCTAACCCCTTTAGTAGAATTCTAGTTGACAAATTTTCTCTTCAAATAGGAAATTTTATAGCAATCAAATGCCCATAAAGTACTATTTTACCAGTTTTAATATATATTATTGTAATTATCAGTGTATTCTAAAATTTTTTAAATTTCCAGTTTGATTAAGTTATTTTAAACTGTTTCATTTTTAATTTTCAGATGTGTAAGAATATTTTTAGCTGCTTACTTATTTCTAAATCAACCACATTCTGGTCAGAAAATGTGGTGAATTGTAACAACTCATTGAAAATTTTTTGAAACAAGCTATAGTCTATACAAGTCAGAAAACTTTTTTCATCAATGGCCAAACAGTAAATACTTTAGGCTTAGTGGATCACAATAGTTTTTGCAGATAACTATTTAATTCAAGCAGCCATAATAAACAAAAGGGCATGTCTATGTTCCAAGAAACTGAAATCTGGCCTATAGTCTGCAACCCCTGCTCTAATACATAGTCAATATTTATAAACACTTCACATATGTTTGAGAAGTGCAGGCTTTCATTCAGTGTTTTCCAATCAGGGTGTTGCAGATACATCGCAGGTGTACCAAAAGGTTAACTGTTCCAGACCTTAGGGCTCCAGACAGAACCTGGACTTTGACCACTAGCTCAATATTCTACACAAATAATTATCATTTATCATGTGGGTCATGAACTAAAAAAATTAAGATATATTGCTCTGTTTGGTAGAGGGTTCTATACACCATGTATCTGATAAATAAAACTTGTTACTATGTTGACCAAATTCTCTGTAAGCTACTAATTTTCTGACTGCTTAGCCTACCAATAATTAAAAATTATATCAAACTCTCCCACTATGATAGTGGTTGCTGATTTCTTCCAGCTGATGTGAATTTGTACTTTATTTGTGTAAGACTTTTGTTTTGCTTTGTTTTAGTGCACAAAACAATTATGTCTTCTTGTAAAGGAACCATTACATAGCCAACATCTCCATCCTTAATGACATTTCTCTTGTGTTACAGTAACACAGGTACTGAACCCAGATGTACAGCCAACCCAAATAGATATGTCATTTGGTTTTATTTTTGCAATAAACACAAAGTTAAAGTCACTGTATTTGCATAAAGCTATTCAAATTTTAACATACCCATAGGCTCATATGCATAAATACATCTAACCTTCACCAAAACAACCACATACAAGGGGATTAAAAATAGCAGAGTAAGACCAGGAGCAAAATACTGCCTCTCCAGGAGCTGGAACTGAAGCACCTGGAAAACAATTTGATAAAGCAAAACAAAAAAGTAGCTCTCTAGGAATTGGGAAGGAACTGACAGAAAAACGTGGGAAATGACAGAGAAGCTGGAAAAACTGAGCACAATACAGAGAAAAGGACAAAGCAGTCTGGAAAGCTTACCCCAGCTCCCGGGAAGGGCCACCTGTCTCTGCTAATACAAGGTAAGCCCAAAGAGGATCCGCAGCTCCTGGCAGAAACAATGGATCAAGCCGGTAGCACTAGCTCCAAGAAAAGTCCAGGATTTCTTGTACAGTGCAAAAACAGCATGGGGTTTTACTCTCAAAGTGAACTCCTTTTACATGATAGACTAGAGTTGGAAAATAAATCCAGTGCAGCACCCCCCATATTTGTGTTTAATCAGGAGCCAATTTGGAAAGGGGTTAACTGTTTTAAGGCTAAGCAACAGAAGAACCGCACTTTCGGGTTTCTGGGGTCACCCTACAGCAGTGGCTGGGTGGAAAACAGCCACAAGAGACAGTCATAGAGAGGGAGCACGCTAGGTATAGACCCCGAGAGGTTAAAGCTCAGGCCAGACCGGAGTGCAGCGCTGTCGCCACGCCCCGTGCATCTCTTCCCCATTTGTCTCCCTCCCCGCTCGCGGGCGTGAGCATCCCTGGTACACGGAGCTGCAGTCTCAAAATGGCTGATAGCAAGGAGGAGCTGCGGGCGCACGACCTACAGAGGCCGGCCTTAAGAGGGCTGCGAGGCTGCGGAGCTCGCCTGCCCAGCTGAACGCAGAGACCACGTTGCCGTCAGCGATGAACACCACATGTTCGTCTGGGGCGGCTACAAGAGTAATCAATTCATCTGCCTAGAGAACTATGGATCTACAACATGGAGACTGGAAGATGGAAGAAAATTAAACCTGAAAGTGATGTTCCACCTTCGATGTCCGGCAGCTGTGCTGTGCGTGTGGACAGGGTGCTGTACTTGTTTGGAGGACACCATTCGAGAGGCAACACAAATAAGTTCTACATGCTGGATTCAAGGTGTACAGACAGAGTGTTGCAGTGGGAAAGAATTGATTGCCAAGGAATTCCTCCATCATCGAAGGACAAACTCAGTGTCTGGGTATATAAAACAAGCTAATATTTTTTGGAGGGTATGGATATTTACCTGAAAAGAAAGCACTGGGAACTTTTGAATTTGATGAAACATCCTTCTGGAATTCAAGTCATCCAAGAGGATGGAATGATCACGTACATATTTTAGACACTGAAACATTTACCTGGAGCCAACCTGTAACTACTGGTAAAGCACCTTCACCTTGTGCTGCTCATGCTTGTGCAACCGTTGTAAATAAAGGATTTGTGTTTGGAGGCAGATATCGAGATGCTAGAATGAATGATCTTCACTGTCTCAATCCGGATACATGGGGATGGAACAAGTTAATTCCACAAGGCATATGCCCGGTTGGCCAATCCTGGTACTCACTCACACCAGTTTCTTCAGATCATCTTTTTCTCTTTGGAGGATTTACCACCGAAAAACAGACACTAAGTGATGCCTGGACTTACTGCATCAGTAAAAAAGAGTGGAGGCAGTTTAACCATCCCTATGCTGAAAAACCAAGGTTGTGGCATACAGCTTGTGCCAGTGATGAAGAAGTAATTGTTTTTGGTGGGTGTGCCAACAACCTGCTGGTCCACCACAGAGCTGCACACCATAATGAAATACTTGTATTTCCAGTTCAGCCCAAATCTCTTGTACGGCTAAGCTTTACAAGCAGTCATTTGCTTTAAAGAAATGTTAGCCGACTCATGGAACTGCCTTCCTAAACACTTCACAGTGTTAATCAGAGGTTTGGTAGTAACAACACTTCTGGATCTTAAGGCTTCATAGAGAACGCCTCTGATCGCCTTGCATGGACAACAATCCTGTAATCGTCACAGATCATGATCATTTGTATAACATATTGTTGTAGTTTGCAACTATTTGGTTTTAACGTGCATGTGAATGTCCTAGGGAACCTATTTTTGTGTCTATAAAGTTTACAATAAATGTATTTCACACTAGTAACTGTTCTCTATTAAAGCAAAAAAAATTAAAAAAAAAAAAAAAAAAGCTCAGGCTAGAAAGGATACAGGGTCCAGCCTTCCAAGTTGAGAAGCCACGCCAGTCATGAGTGGCTACTGGAAGGGGCTGGGTCTGAAAGTGTTAGCATTAAGTCCAACAGACTGCTTGACCTTTCTACCACATTAACCCACACCCAGCACAGAGCTCAAGAGCCTGTTTGCTTTCCCCATTTACCAACATGATCAGGAATATACTTTGGCTTAGACAGTGGCCAAAGCCTAGGGTGGAGAAAGCCATGACTTGGGGCACTTTGAGGGACACAGAAACTGGAAGCTACTTCAATGAATATAGCCCTAAAGTGGAAATCATTGATCATCTGTGCCCTCTGTAGGAAATGCATGACAGTATTCATACACAAAAATGTGAGTGTGGTGACAAAATAGATTAATAGTAACTCACTATCCTGCCTTCATATCAGGTGGATTCCAATATTGTAGACTCTGGAAAGAAACCATTCCTTCAAACACACAGAGTAATTTGTGTTTTGGGGGGTTCATTTCTCTTTGTGCTTCACTGGTTTTTTTGAAGTGTGAGCTTTTTTTTTCTTTTTTTAATTATGCTCTCTGTACTTTTTTCATTTGTTCTTTTCGTTACTTTTACTTAATTCTATCAATTTTCTTTTACTCCCTAATAGGATCCTTTATCTCACTTTTCTCTCCTCAGCTGCCCTTTATATTTCAAATTTTACTTCTTTCATTTTTCCATTCCCCACCCTCTCCATCTTTATTAGTACAGTACTACTATGAAGCTTAATTACTTTAAATATTTAGTTGACTCCATGCTATTATTATTGAATTCTTTTCTATTGTTAGTGGTGGTATAATTGTCACATTTAGTACATACTTGCTGTGTGTCAATATCTGGTTTGTTTTTGTGTCTACATTATAATTACAGATCTCTTTTCCATTTTTAAAGCGGGTAAAGTGTAGCCCTTAATAGTTCTCATGGTATGTCAACATCCAATTTGATTCTAACTCTGTTATTGTTGCTGATTTTGTTGCTACTGCCAGAATGGCACAGTTATTGCTATTAGTTGGCTTTTACTGTACGTTGTTATCTGGTTTGTCTTTGTGTCATCCAGAATACTGTGGTTCATTTCTATTTGTTTTTTTGGTACCGGGAATCGAACTCAGGAACTTGCGAGGCAGGCACAGTGCCACTGAGCTAAATCCCTGACCCCTGTGATTCATTTCTGGAGAGAAAGGTACTAAACCAATTACAGTCTACCCTCCCCTCCCCAAATTAGCAAATGGTCAGATCTTTGGACAAAGGCAATCGCCTACAGGTAGCCATGCCCAATATGCATCACTGGAAAGCAGACTAATTTAAAATGATCTCCATGCTATCAACAAAGTCTTTCCACTATACTGGACCCTCAACACTCAGCAAAAAAGAAAAAAAGAAACATGAAAAAACAAGGCAACAAAATGCCTCCAAAAAGTCCCAACTCCCAAAAGTTGATTCAAGGAGCATCTATGAGAAGAAAAGAAAAATCTAAACAGCTGAATTACATGAAATGATAAAAAAAAAACACAGACGTATACATAGAGCAAATTGAGAAAGTGCTCAGTGAGCTCAAAGATGATATAACTAAACAAATAATGGGCTTAATAAAATGACCCAGTGAGCTTACAGAAGACACTAATAAAAAGCTAGGTGAGCCAAACAAAACAGTACAAAATACAAATGAGCAATTTAGCAAAGAATTAGAATCCATGAAAAGATACCAAACAGAAATCCAGGAGATAAAAAAAAATTCTACTGAAAGCATGGGCAGCAGAAGTGACCAAAGTTAGGAGAGTATCAGAACTAGGGCAAAAAAAAAAAAAAAGAACTAGGGCAAATTCATTCTGCTGCCTGTCTTTGTAAATAAAAAATTTGGGGGGACACAGGCAGATCCTCTTGCTTACTTATTACTTATGGCTGCTTTCTTGACACAACAAAGTTGAGTGGTTCCAACTATCTGACCCATAAAGCCTAAAATATTTTCTACCTGGCATTTATGAAAATGTTTCTTAGGCTTTAGACCAGGCCCTTCTGAAATAAGATAAAGTGAATCTTACCCAAACTTTAAACTTGCTACAAACCTTTAGAAAAATTCTTTTTCTGATGTCTGCCTGACCATCCAATTCAGATGAATCTTTCAAGTCCACCTGTGTTGCCTTTGTTTACCACCAGAAAAGAGGACTATGTTCCAAAGACTTCTTACTCTACAAGATTTACTTTGAGACTTCCTCTTAGATTAACAGATGATTTAGAAGTGTGTTATTTAATTTCCAATGGTTTAGAGACTTTCTTCTTGTCTTCCTGTTATTGCTTTCTAGCTTAATTTCATTATATTAAAAAATACTTTACCCAAATAGAATACTTTAAAATTTTTAAGGTTTTATGTCCTAGAGAATGATTCACATTTCACAAATATTCAGATGCCCTTAAAAAGAATATGTACTCTCCTGCTGTTGCATGGATTCTTCTATAAAAATTAATGAGCTCCAGTTTGTTGAACAGTCCTTTTCATTTCTCGTTCTTACTGTCTTTTGTATGCTAGTTATATTGCTTACTGAGAGAAGGTGTTGAAGTCATCAAAGTATAACTGTGTATTTCTCCACTCTCCTTTCAGTTCTGTAAGTTATTTTATTAAGTATATATACAGTTAAGATTATATCTTCTTGATTGTGATGGTTATATTTATACATCAACTTGGTTAGGCAAAGTTGCTCAGTTGTTGGGCCAAACACTAATCTAAGTGTTGCTACAGAAGTATTTTATAGGGCCGGGGATTTAGCTCAGTGGTTCTGCCGCCTGCCTCGCAAGTGCAAGGACCTGAGTTCGATCCCTGGTACCCCCCCAATAAAAGTATTTTATAGATGAGATTAATATTTGCAATCATCTGACTTGGTGTAAAAGAAATGACCCTCAATAATGTGAGTAAATCTCATCCAATCACTTGAAAGCCTTAAAAGGAAAATCTGAGGTTTGCCTGAGATGGAAATCAGCCTTAAGACTACAACATAAACTCCTGCCTGAGTATACAGGCCACTGGCTTACCCAACAAATTTTTAGATTACCAACTTCCACAATTGTCTAAGCCAATACCTCAAAATCAATTCCCCTATCAAACCTTTCTTACACACACACACACACACACACACACACACAAACAATCACTGGTCCTGTTTTGTTGGACAACCCTGAGAAATTGCCAAAGTGACCCTTTTACATCATGGAATGTCCTTCTTTATCCCTGGTAACATTTCTTGCTCTCTATTGCCAATATTAAAACAGCAATTAGTGTTTTCATGAGATAAAATGTTTCATTCCTTTTAGCCTATGTAATTATACTTGCAGTGGATTTCTTACGGACAGCATATAAGATACAGTCACATTGAATAATCAATTTTCATAATTTATGCCTTTAAATGATATTTTTAGATTTTATATTTAATGTAACTTTGATATCTTTATATTTAGGCCCATCATTTTATTATCTATTGTAAAAAATAAAATAATCTAAATTGTTCACTTCTTAAATTTTAAATAAATTCATTAGTTTTAAAAAATCTTTCAAAAAAAATTCAATCAAACATGATTTGAAAAGAAAGACAACCAAAAGACTTTTAGAATGTCCATCAGAAAGAAATCTTTACCTGGACCTGCAATTATCACAGCAGTTTTCAGTTCCCATGATATCCAAGGAGGCCTTTTGTAGTTGTCTGTCCTCAAAATGACACAAGATGATCCTATCCAGGAGAAAATTTTAAATTTTAAATTAAATAAAAGAACGAATATATGCATATGCTGAACGCATTGCTAAAAATGAGGTGAAATCATTAGTTGATTTATCTCATTTCTCAACACAGTATTTGAGTTCAATTCACTAGGGCACCAAAAAAGCTGCCTTAGCCACTTAACAGTTTATACTGACTACACTGAGTGTAACTCAGGCAGGTGTCATTTTAACCAGTTGACTCATGTTCACATGAGATACACTTAAATGTCTGTTTTATATCAACTGTTTTTTGCATTCTTTTTTATTTAAAGCATTGTATTCACCTTTCATGTTTGTTTCTAATGAAACCTAATATATAGTTCTGGTTATTTTCTTTTACTAATTTGTGTTTATTTTATTTGTGAAAAATAACCTATAGTTTTGTGCTGCAATCTATAAAAACTCCTATTGTAAGTACATTAGATATAATTTTTGTACTTTAGAACTCAGTGATATTCTTTTAAAATACAAAATGGACATTTTTGGGACACTGAAATTGAAAAGGAAGGAGGTACCAAAAGATCTGCCAAAGAAAAAACTGAAAAAAGGAGAAATGTTAGCATATTAGAGAGGAAAAGTCCGTGTTATGAAATGGAAAGACAAAAAGGATGTTTCCTTAGTGTCAACTATTCATAATACAGAAATAATAGAATTTGAAAAAAGAAACAATACCAAAAAGATTCCAACAGTGTCAATAATAATTCTATGGGTGGTATAGACAGAACTGACCAACATCTAACAGGCTATCCTATAATCAAAAAGTGAGGAAAAAAAATTACCATAAAATATTTATGTACCTTCTGGATTAAACAATATGGAACTCATGTGTTATTTATCCAAAACAAGGGTGTTCAAAAAGTTGTTTACAATTTGGATTAGGTCTAATAGACCAAATAATTAAAAAATACTGGATAGCAAAACACCAACTAGGCCATCTATCATCGTCTTCACCATTATGTTTAGTGAGTAGACATTTTATTGAAATTATACCACCCACAGAAAAAAAAGAAAAGCCAACACAACAATGTAAAGAGTGATTTTAAAAGAAAGACAATGCAAAAAGAATGCATAAAGAGACTACATACTGGTGACAAGATTGTAATGTTATATTGTATATTGAATGTTTTAAGATAAGCATAAACAGAAAATTATTGTATATAAATTTGATAAAATTGTTTTAAAATTTCCTGTTATATTCTCTTATCAAAATTAACAAAACTATGCAATTTTTGATCAACCTGTATTTAAATAATTGGATTAGTAAATGCTTAAAAATTCAGGATACATGTAACATAACATTCATTCAAAATACTTATAATTAATAACAGGATTTTTTCTTACACCCATGCTATTGATATAAAATGCAAAATACATACTGCCGCCTACATCTGCTGGAATGAAGATATTTTTCCATTTTTGCCACCATCTTTAATTTGTATGATCGAAACTTCTCATTATGTATCTCAATAAAGTGGTGCCTGTCAATGAAAAATATTACAGGATTATTTGAACCTATTAGCAATTTTGTTATTTTTTAATTAGTTTTTTTCAAAACCTACACTTCCATCAACATTTCTTTTACCCTCAGAAAGCTCTCCTGTATCCCTTCCCATCTGTGTCTTCCCATGACACATATTTTTTTGTTTGCTTGCAAGTCTTCTATTATATAGGAATTATGATCCTTCCTCAGGAAAAGGTTATTATTTAAAATATTTATTTTCTATGAGAAATTCAAAGTACCTATATAAGGAATGGTGAATAAAGGCACATCACTCCAGCATAAGCCTTAATCCTCAGGAGCTCTTGAGAGGTCTTTCTTGCTCTCCAAACCTTTGTCTTTGTATTATGGGGTACTTGAGGATACCACTAAAGTATCAGAATTAAGTTTTTCCTCAAGCACTTATAATTGATTCTCTTTTTTTTCCATAACACTGAACTTCTTTAAATTTTTTAAATAACATTAAAAACATATTTGTTCAATTTTCAAAAGTCAATGCTGATATAATTCATCCTGACTATTCATTTCTGGTTTTTTGTGAATATCAAATGCCAGATGATGAAAACCTTCATGGTTATAGCAGCACAGTTTGTAATAGATAAAGCTTGGAAACAGCCCAAGTGCCCATCAACTGGAAACTGGATAAAGACGATGTGGGTTTTTAAAATAAAATGGAGTACTACTCAGCCATAAAGAACGAAAAACTAGCGTCATTTATAGCTAAATGGATGCATGTTGAAGCCATACTCTTTAAGTGAAATAAATAGGACACACATGTGTGAATACCGAATAGTTTCTCTAGTGTGAGAAACTGAAAGTCTTCCAAATAGTTTTAATGGCAGTTTTCTTTTCTTTTTTTTTGGTACCGGAGGTCGAACTCAGGACCTAGCGCTTGTGATGCAGTCAGTGGAACCACTGAGCTAAATCCGTGGCCCAAATAGTTTTAATTACCTTTCCAAGAATAAAAAAGTCTGGGTAGAACTGCTTGACAGATATTCCAAAAGAAAACAAAATGATATAAGATCTAAGTGATAACACTGACCCTAATCAAAAGGTTCTATCCATTCTTCTAATTGATTAAAATAATACCTGTACAATTCTCAAGGAACTCTAGGAAGTCTGAATGGTCTGTTATTCAGAAACATTCTTGTAATTTAACACTACCAACTACTATACCCTTCCATGTAACACCCCCTACCCCACTTTCTTCCAAACTGTTGACACTAGGTTCTAGGTTTACCATCTAGCTAATCTCACTCTTCCTGGCTCAAGAGCAAACATGAGGTGTTTTTGTTTTTGTTTTTGTTTTTTTCCCTTTATTTACTGGGTTCTTGTTTAGTTCACCTCCTCCTCCTGAGACAGCATTAACAAGGAAACAAATACCTACACACCCAGAACTAGGTGATCTCAAATATTTGATTTAAGTGACTTCATTTAAATAATCTCATCACTATTCATACCACTTTTGAGAAAAAAAACTTGTAAGTACCTAAAAAAGAAAAATTCTAAAAACAATTAGCATTAATAGAAATCAGTTAGAGCCAGTTTATTGAATTGAGATCATTTTGTAAATTTTTCTTTCTTAAGAAGAGTACCACATCTATTAGGTTTGACTGTTTAAAATAACATCAACTAGGAAAATGGGGGGGGGAAAGAAGCAGCAAAATACATCATGTACAGATACAAATCCCCTATGATAGACATTATTATTCTGTATATCTAAAATGTACCAATAGGGGCCAAGGATTTGGCTCAGTGGTTTCACCGCCTGCTGCGCAAGCACAAAGACCCGAGTTCGATCCCCGCAACCAAAAAAAAAAAAAGAATAAAATGTACCAATAGTTGAAAAAAAGATAACAGAGGAGTAGAGACCAAGTTGGAGGAGAGCCAGGAGTCTGTTACTGAAGGTTTATTGGGATAGAATTGACAAGAATGGTGTCTATTTAAGCTTTAAGGTTGTCATAAAAAATGAAAACTGTCTCATCAAGAATCCATGGGCCTAAAATGATCTCAGATTGAGAAACAGCAGCCTGAGGAGTTCTGTGTGTGCTCCGTGGGGCCCAACAAGAAAGATTTGTACAACAGCCTCAACCCCAGAAGTTAGCCACGACAATCCACCAGGTGCACTGCCCCATCTGGCAAAGGAAGAGGCTTCTGGGCCGCCATACCACCACTCCCAGCCCAGAGGAAGAGGCTTCCCAGCCGCCGTAGCACCACTCCCAGCACAGAGGAGGAGGCTTCCCAGCCGCTGTAGCACCACTCCCAGCACAGAGGAGGAGGCTTCCAGGCCGCCATAGCACAGCTCCCAGTACAGAGGAGGAGGCTTCCAGGATGCCATACCACTGCTCCCAGGGAGAAGAAAGAGGCTTCCAGGCCGCCATACGACACCGCTCCCAGTGCAGAGGAAGAGGCTTACGGGCTGCCATACCAGTGCTCCAAGCACAGAGGAAGAGGCTTCCAGGCCACCTTAGCACTGCTCCAAGCACAGAGGAAGTGAGCCACATGGGCACCAACAGCACACACCCACGTGCCTCGCCCTCACCGCCCAGACCAAACCCCTCCACCCCTGTCAAAATCAGAAGACACATAAACAAGTCTGAAAACCAGACTTCCAGATCACCCACAGTAACACCAAAAGGAAATGAGATGGAACACTCTGATACTCAACCACCTGGACACCCTGAGCTGACAACAAAAGAGGATTTGGAAAAAATGACATCAGAAATGATTTCTCAGATAACAGCAGAGTTTGTGTTCATAGTGCAAGACATGATTAATAAATCCAGAGAGGAGCTGAGGAATACGATGGGATCCTAACATGGAATCCATAAAACAGATGTAAACAGATATCCAGGAGATTAAAAGCTCCACTGAAAGTATACACAGCAGAATGAGCCCATGTGAGGACAGAATTTCAGATATAGAAGATAAGATT